CCGTGTTAATACTTAAAAAAAAGTCTGAGTGCCTGGATGACTCAGTCTGGAGAGTGTGCCACTCCTGATTTTGGGGTTGTAAGTTCAAGCCCCATGTTAGGTGAAGAGGTTACTTAAAAATAAAATCTTTAAAAAAGTGGGAACAACAGGCATTCCTATATAATATCTTATTAATTTATATAATTATTAGTATCATTATTCCATTTTTGAGATGGATAACAGATGAATGTATATTGGAGGTTTTGTTGGGGGGTCAGTGCCAATAATATATATTTTAATATAGTCTCCCAATTTTTATTTAGATGCTGAATACCAATTCCACTAATCAACCAATTAAAATTGTAATGTAACCAGAGATTCTTTTTTCTTCAAGAATATTTGAATTGTCTATTACTTAGTAGTTTTCAATTTTGCTAAGGTATTCAACAGCCATCCATTTAACACCTCTTTTCTATGAACTAGGAACAGTTAGGACAGAGAAATGTGAATTAATTTCCTTGCTTCCAACAATAAACTCAGAGTTTATTAGAGAAAATAGAAATACAAATAAGGTTACATAATAGCTTACTGTTTTGTGTGTATTTTAATTAACTATGTGGTGATTTAAATGCAAAGGGTATATGCACATTTTACTCAATGAGGTCTTATATTAGTCCAAAATAATGCATCCAATAACCTTTTGAGTATTTCTGTGAAACTTTGTGCATATTCCTGTTTGCTATTTTTGGTACTTTTGGAAAAGCACCTTCCAGATTAATATTAACGTTATCCATATACTGCATCACTTAGAAAAAGAAAACATATTATCTTTCTTTGATTGTTGGGAGTGAAAATTCTATATTCTATATTGAATATTGAATATATTGAATATTCTATATTCTATATTGAATATATTCTATATTCAATATATTCTATATTGAATATATTCTATATTCAATATATTCTATATTGTTGGGAGTGCAAGTTCTATATTACAAACAAAAGAAAAAAATTAGAAGTCAGAATCTCAAATTTTGGTAAAAGTCATAGTTATTGAGATCTAGAAGCTGACATAAGCAATTCTAAACCAATAAGTCATGAAAAGGAAAACTTGCTTCACAGAAGTCCACAGAAAGAAGAGTGTGAAGAACAAGGATCCTCACCACGTCTGAATATTACTATCCTTGAGGTGAAGTAGGCTATGGAAAACTCCAAACAGGTTAAGGAATGTACCTGTAAGTAAGAGGTTAATCTTTCTTTCTGGGTATCTAGGGAACTAACTCAAAATGTGTTCCTGAGCCAATAAGGTTGTGCCTCTCGTGATTGGGAATGACACATTGGTGTTTAAGGCAAAAAAGAGCCTCTGTGTCTTTTTTGATTCCTCTGTGATGGGAAAAGGACCCAGGTATTGGAGAGTATCCCCAATGAAAGAGGAAAATGTAATTTATAGTTTAATCCATTGGGCTTGGAAAATGGTTATGAAAGAAAGAAAGAAAGAAAGAAAGAAAAGAAAGAAAGGAGCGAAGAAGGAAGGAAGGAATATTTAAAGAAAAGAAAAGAAATAAAAAGAAAAGAAAAGAAAAGAAAAAGAAACCTGAAAAGAAAGCAGAAAAGAAAAAAAAAGCAGAAAAGAAAAGAAAGCAAAAAAGAAAAGAAAGAGAAGGTGATTCTAAGACAAACACTGCAACATAGACTGCTTGGGCAAGTTCTGAGATGGAGAAAGCAATGATGACTCAGAGGATCTAGTGCAGGTCAAAACTAAGACTCTTCTGAATCAATGAGCAGTAAATTACTTGACCTTAACAATGCTGATTAAGGTCAGCACAAAATAATCATATTTGTGACATCAGCAGCAAGAGTCTCAGGATGCCCTGCGGGCTGCGAGGCTCAGTAGTCCCTCACGATCACTCTGAGGAGATGTAAAATTCATTGCAATGAAAAGCAAACATACTGACCATCTTTAACATGATTTTTTTTTTTTTTTTTGTATTCATAACCTTCAGGTATTTTTCTATGATAACTGTTTGGAATCTACTGCTTTAGTTTTAACATTTGTGGATCCAGTATGTAACTAATCCCTTTTTAATTGCTTTTTAGACTGGTTCCAATTTTTAACTATTAGAAAAAAAATGACAGGTTGGACAATTATGCATACATCTTTTTACACTTGTCTAACTATTCCTTTTCATAAATCCCTGTAAGTAGAAAAAATGGATCAAAGGTTATCAGCATTTCAAATTTTGAAATATTATGTAGATTTTCCTCCAGAGAGGTTATTAACATTAATATTATCACAAAATGTATAAAATTCCTGTGTTATATACCTTTACAGTGAAGAGAGATTTTTACTGAGAGATAAATAATTTTTGTATGGATATTTTTGGATCATTATATGTCTTTCATACTACTTGTCCTTTTTTTTCTATTGACATATATCTGGCATCTACATTTTCATTTAACTTGGAGCAGGCATTTTTTTTATTAAAAGAATTTACTTACTTCAGATTAGGTAAAATATTAGCAAAATTTTAGAAAAAAACATTTTTTTCACTTTTTTATGATTATCTACAAAGCACTCCAAATTTCTTGAAAGGGCTCATTATAAATAAATATAACCTCAAAAATAAAACTTCTAATTAACGAAAAGGTGGGAAGCTTTCTTTCAGCAGGTTGAAGGACACAAGTCATAGGTCAGAGGCTACCAAGGAGAAAGTAGGCTTACTCAAGGAACAGTTTCTGTTTATTGCCAAACTCAAATAATTATGATTGTTTTCTTGTATATGAGTGATCTATTGTTACATTATAACATATAAAGTTTTAAAATATATATTAGGTTATTGGTTATAAATTTATATTTTATTTATGGGAAAAAATTCCCTCATGGAAATAGCTTTTATATCAATTTTACATATCTTTTATTTAAGTTGATTTATTTATTTTGAAAGAGAAAGAGAGAGAGAGAGAAGGAGAGAAAGTTTGAGCAGGGGAGAAGCAGAGAGAGAGGGTGCGAGAGAAGCCCAAGCAGGCTCCACACTGTTAGTACCAGAGCCGATGCAGGGCTCAAACTCAGGAACAGTGAGATCATGACCTGAGTTGAAACCAAGAGTCCAATGCTTAAGCTGACTGAACCACCGAGGCACAACCAATTTTACATATCTGATGCAACTTTCTATATATCTGATATATTGTGACTTATAAGAAATATATATTATATAATATTTGGTCATTCAGATAACTAAAATATATTTCCCCTATATATTTGATTTTGTCCATGGTTCTAGGATCACAGCTCCTAAAATTCCTGGAATATCCTGTAATAAAAGCAATAAAAGTGTCTTTTGTTATGTTAATAAAGCGATTTTTAGAAAGCCTTTAGGTAACCTAAGGGTGGGGGCTGATTGCCAGTGAGGCCAACCCTGTGGTTAGAAGGTTGGGACTTTTCCCAACCCTTCCATTGAAGGAAGCAGGTCTGGAGATTGAGTGTAATGGCTGATGTCTGAATCAATTGCAGTAGTCTCCATTATCCACTGTTTCCCTTTCCGCAGTTTTACTTTCCAAGGTTTTAGTCATAGGTAGTCAACTTTGGTCTGGGAGCAGATGATCTTCCTTGTGAATCTGCAGAAAGCCAATAGTAGCCTATCTCTACATCAAAGTGCCTATGTCATTCACTTCACTTCCTTACATAGGCATTTTATGATATCACATCATCACAGGAAGGGTGAGAACAGTACAGTAAGATATTTTGAGAGAGAGAAAGAAAGACCATATTCACATACTTTTCTTAAAGTACATTATTATAATCATTCTATTATTAGTTATTATTGATTATCTCTTACTCATAACAAGCTCTTCATAGGTATGTGTATATAGGAAAAAACATAGTATATACAGGATGTTGTACTCCCTGCAGATAAGGGGGGGGGGCTACTATATGCCAATGTAACGAAGCCTCCATCAAATTTCAAAAGGATGAGGTTTGGAGAACACATGGCAATTTGGGGAGAGTGGCACTTTCATAGAGAGGATGGAAGCTGTGCATACTTTCCCCATGCCTTGCCCTAAGCATCTCTTCCATCAAGTGTTTCTCTGAGCTCTGTGAGCTGCTGTAGCAAATTAAACCCAAGGAGAAGATCCTGGAAACTGTGATTTATAGCCAGTTGGTCAGAAGTACAGGTAACAGCCTGAACTTGTGACTGGTGCCTGAAATCCAAGGAGGGAGTCTGGAACCCCCAACCTATAGCCGATTGGTCAGAAGCACAAATGACACTTGCGACCGGTGTCTGAGGTGTGTGTGGTGGGGATGTAGTCTTGTAGGACTGATCCTGAATCTGTAGAATATGATGCTTTCTCTGGATATATAGTATTAGAATTGAGTTGAACTGTAGGACTCCGAGCTGGTGTCTAAGTATTGCTTGTTGGTGTGGAGAACCCCTCCCACCACATTAAAACTGATGTCAGAAAGAAATTAATATCTATAATCACTACTTCTGTGATATTTTAGGGAATGTGAGAACAGTTAACGACAGAGGACAGAATATTCATTGTGAATTACAAATAACTGTGAATCTTGAGTTCTTTCCCATCAAATACCTTGGTTGAACCTTCTTGGTTCAGAAGAATAATTTATTTTTTTACCAGTTTAAAGCTAAGGTTAACTACAATAGTATTATCAGTAATAAAGTAAAACTTCAAAAGTTTTTTTAAGAAGCATAAATACAAGCTATGACAAATTGCACTTGTATTTTCTTGAAGAGAAAGTCGCCATATTATTTTCTTTAAAATTCTCTTCGGGTATTCAAATAGCAAAAAACTTAACAATTTTACTTTGCACTCATCAAATGCATCTTGTAAAATGAATTTTGAAAAGTGGTTTCACGAATTTGAATAATTCCCAGTGTGATTTTTTAATTGCAAGTAAGCGAGAGAACATATTGACACCTTATTTTTGATTATATATACATATATACGATTTGCAAAGCAAAAATAAGAAACTAAATAATGAAAATACTGGAAATCTTAAATCATTAGGAGTTTAGTAAATCAACAGGGGTTGGAAGCTCAAAAGCAAATACAATTTAGGATTTCTGGTAGAGAATTAGCTTCTGGTTAGGTGCTGAGAAGGAAAGCAGGTAAAAAGCAGATGAAAGGAGCCAGCCAGTTGTCCGAGGATGGATACTCTCCTTGCATGCTTTTGGCTTCTGCAATCTTTCTTGTCTCCTGTATCAGCCAGCAGCCAGGAACCAGAAGCTGCACTGTATTATCCCCGCCCAACCCCGAAGCACATAGGTATAAAAAGCCAGTAAAACCCCAGCAGGACGTTCAATCTTTAAAGGTGACTCTGCTGGCCCGGCACCTGCGTGAAATAAACAGTCTTTTCTGATACCCGGAGTGCGTGTCACTTGTCCCTTCCTGTGTGCCAAGTATTTGCTGCAACATTTTCGTGCATTGGGAAACCTACAGCCGTGCTGTCCCCTTGCACCATTGTTGTCTAGAGCCAGCGGGAGCAGGAGCCAGAGCACCAACATTTCGGCCCGCGACGGGAAGGAAGGTGTGGCACGAGTGGTTTCGCTGAACTCTGACCCTCACCGCCAGATAATAGCCAACTGCAGCCACGTTCTCACAGACCCTGGGGGGGAATTTTCAAAAATCCTGCCAGGAAGGGACATCGGATCAGGTGAGTGTCTGCGGGGACCCAGGACTGAGTTCAGACCCTAGAGGCAGAAGGGGATCTTGATCACCCCCCGGGGCGACATAGTCACCACATAGGACAGGGAAGACCTGGGTGGAAGTCTGCAATCTCTGAATGTGTGTGTGAGTGTCCGTGCTCCACGGTTTCAGCTAGGGAGCCCCAGTGGGTCTTACCCTGTGAGTCTGCTATGACCTCATACGGCTCAAGGCAGAATCAGGTCTGTGGAGGCCTGATCTTAGGGGTTTATACTGACCTGCCAATGCTAAAAGGCATCTAAGTCCTTGTGAGGGGAGAGGCCAGGCAGATGAAATGACCTCTGCCCTCATGTTTCCCCTGCGACACTGTACATTGGGAGGGTTCCATCTAGGATACCAGGATGGGGAGAAATTCCTCAAAACCAACTGTTCTGGAGTGTATGATTAAGAATTGTAAAAAAGGATTTTCAGATGACTATGGGGTCAAATTGACCCCCCTCCCCGGGGAAATTACGCACCCTTTGTGAATTAAAATGGCTGACTTTGGTGTAGGCTGGGCCCCTGAGGGCACCATAGGTGTCCCCACAGTCTGAGCTGTTTATAAAATAGTGGCAATGCTTGGCCACCTAGATCAATTCCCATACATCAATCAGTAACTGGAAATAGCCCAAGTCAAGCCTCCTTGGGTCTAGTTCTGCATTTTTTTTTTTAAATTTTTTTTTCAATGTTTATTTATTTTTGGGACAGAGAGAGACAGAGCATGAACGGGGGAGGGGCAGAGAGAGAGGGAGACACAGAATCGGAAACAGGCTCCAGGCTCTGAGCCATCAGCCCAGAGCCCGACGCGGGGCTCGAACTCACGGACCCCGAGATCGTGACCTGGCTGAAGTCGGATGCTTAACCGACTGCGCCACCCAGGCGCCCCTAGTTCTGCATTAATAGTAAGGGACAATGTAGGGTCTTAGTGGCACAGGCCAAGAATAAGACCTCACAGCAGAAAAAACCACCCCCCATCCTCCAAGAAAATACAGAAGAAGTCCTTCCATTTATGCCACCATATGCCCCCAGTGTCCCTTCAGTCGAGGGAAGGGAACCTCGCCTGCCTGACAGTCCACTCCCCACGGTTTCACCTCCACCAACAGCCAGTCTTCCCCAGCAAGGGACACATGAACTAGTAGGAAGATGCCTTAGATCATCATCTTAAGGTCCAAGGCCCCCCATGGCAATGCAGATGCCATTGGGGGAGACTAGAGGTCTCCAGAGAATAGGCCCTGATGGGACCCTACAAGAGGGGGGATCAGTTTTCTACTACCAACCGTTCTCCATTACTGACCTTCTCAACTGGAAACATAACATGCCACCCTACTCTGAGAAGCTACAGGCAATGATAGATCTCCTACAGTCTACAATCCTGCCTGGGTTGACTGTCAGCAGCTTCTGCTTACCCTTTTCAACATGGAAGAGCATAGACAAAATGTCACCAAAGCCAGAAAATGGCTCCAGACTCAGGCACCAGATGGACAACTAGATGTTGAGGCTTGGGCATGGGGGGCTATGCCTGAAAAGGAGCCCCGCTGGGACCCCAACATAGAAGCAGGAAGGGCCAGATTAAAAAGATACCAGCATGCCTTCTTCCAAGGGGTAAAAGCAGGGGCCAAAAATCTCACCAACATGGAAAATGTAGCTGAGGTCCTATAAATGCCAGAAGACAACCCTGCTGACTTCTATGAAAGATTATGTGAAACTTTCAGAGTTTACACTCCATTTGACCCTGAAGTCCCCCAAAACTAGCACATAGTCAATGCTGCCTTTGAGGGATAGGCCCAAGCTGACATTAGACAGACGCTCCAAAAATTGGAAGGATTCACTGGAAAAAACTCCACCGAACTATTGGAAATCGCCAACGATATTTTTGTAAATTGGGATTGAGCTTCCAGAAAGGAGGAAGACCAAAGAATGAAACAAAAGGCAGCTCTCCTGGTCTTGGCCTTGGGGCAACCACCCCCTCTGAAAGGGCTCCCACAGAAATGACAAGGGATTCAAGAACAACAAAAAAAAAGGGTGCCACTGGGACAGGATCAATATGCCTATGGCGAAGAATTTGATCCCTGGAAAAATGAATGCCCTAACCACCAAAAAGGAAAACCACAAACCTCCAATCCACCCAGTCACTACCAACCAGAGCCACCTGAGGCTGACTTGATCAGACTATCAGGAATATACTCTGATTAGGAAAGACCAGGCTCTATCCAACTAGGTCCCCATGAGCCCATGGTCAAAATGAAGGTAGGGAGACAGACAATAGATTTCATGGTCAACACTGGGGCCGAACACTTTGTGGTGACACACAAAGTGGCACCTCTGTCGGGTCAAGAAGTCACCATTGTAGGAACCACTGGGGTGCAAACCCAAAGGTAATTTTTCAGTTCCCAACAATGCTGGCTGGGGCGTCACCAAATAGTTCACGAATCTACCTGACTGCCCAGTCTCACTGTTAGGTAGAGACCTCCAAGCCAAGTTGAGCGCAGAAATAGCCTTCACCTTGATGGGCAGATGTAATTGCGCCTAAACGAAAACGCCCAACTCATGATTTTGTCCCTGTCATCAGGAATTCCATGGGAAGAGGAATGGAGATTATATACTTCCCCTCCCGGTGAGCCAACCACGGCCCCCAAGCTAGAAGCTGAATTCCCTTCAATTTGGGCAAAAGAAACCCCCCTGGTCTGGCAAAAAATAAATAAATAATAAAAAAAATAAAGAAAAAAGAAAACCAAAACAACCCCCAATATTAATTGACCTAAAGCCTGGGGCCCAACCTGTCAAAATATGCCAATATATGATCCCATGCTAGGCATGCCTGGGGATCCAGACATACTTGGACATCTACTCAGATGGGGACTTCTAAAACAATGCCAGTCCCCATGGAATACTCCCCTGCTGTCCTTGAAAAAGCCTGGGACAAATGATTACTGTCCTGTACAGGATCTAAGAGCCATTAATGAAGCAGTCATCATTCTGAATTTCTAACCCATATACTCTACTAGGACTCATACCCTCTGAAGAAGGATGGTTCACATATCTAGATTTAAAGGACACCTTCTTCTGTCTCCAGCTAGTGCCTAATAGCCAACCCCTATTTGCCTTTGAATGGGAAAACCCTACCACAAGGGCAAAGGAACAATTCACTTGGACTAGACTGCCACAAGGATTCAAAAATTCACCAACATTATTCAGTGGAGCACTGGCATATGGCTTAGGTTTCTGGGACAGGACCTAAGGTGTGTCTTCCTCCAACATGTGGACAATCTTCTGCTAGCCAGTCTCATGCAGACCCAATGCTGGGAGGGAACCAGGGCCCTACTCAGGCTACTAGCAGAGGCGGGATACCAGGTGTCAAAGAAAAAGGCACAGATTTGCCCACAGGAAGTTAAATATTTGGACTTCAAAATTACCCAAGGCAAATGGATGCCGGGAGCCAAAAGGAAATAGGCAATCTGTGCCATTTTGGTTCCCACTACCCACCGGGAGGTCCAAGAGTTCCTTGGAGCAGCAGGATTCTGTGGCATATGGATCCCAGGATTCTTGGAGTTGGCCAGACCTTTATATGAGGCACTAAAGGGGGAAGAAAGGGCACCCCTTTTCTGAGGCCCTAATCAAGAAAAGGCATTTAAAACTCTAAAACCAAAACTCACAGAGATACTGGCCTTGGGACTCCCAGATGTATCACAAAATTTCAACATGAAAGCAATGGGGTGGCCCTGGGGGTTCTCACCCAGGAATTTGGACCTGGGCAAGACCAGTGGCATTACTTTCAAAGCAGATTGACTCAGTTGTGGCAGGATGGCCACCCTGTTTGAGGGCCCTCGCAGCCACCACACATTTAATCGAGGAAGCGGACAAACTCACATTGGAGCAAAACATAAATGTTAAGGTTCCCCATTCTGTTATTACCTTGATGGATGCTGGAGAACAACACTGGCTAACTCATGCTTGAACGACACATCATCAGGGACTGCTATGTGAGAACCCATGAATAAGATTGGAAGCCATAAAAACTCGAAACCCTGCCACTTTCTTGCCTTTAGTGGCAGGACCTCCAGAGCATGATTGTCTACAGGTACTTGATGAAGTCTGTTCTAGCCCACCTGACCTATCATACAGGCCCTCACAAAATCCTGACCTCATCTTGTACACTGAGGGCAGCAGCTTTGTGAATGAAGGCAAAAGATACACTGGTTATGTGGTAGGCTCTGATTTTGAGGTCATAGAAGCAAAGGCCATTCCACAGAGGTGGTCAGCCCAGAGAGCAGAACTGTACTAGAGTACTAGAACTCAGTAAAGACAAATGGGCCAACATATACACTAACTCGCGCTATGCCTTTGCCACTCTACATGTACATAGGGCTCTATACAAGGAGAGAGGACTTTTGACCACAGGAGGAAAACAAAAAAAGAATCAGGAAGAAATTCTAAAGCTATTAAGGGCAGTCTGGGAACGGAGGTAAGTAGCAGTCATCCACTGCAAGGGACGCCAAAGAGGAAAAGACTCAGTGTCAGAAGATAACTGACAGGCTGACACCACAGCTAAACAAGCAGTGGGAAAACATTCTGGCCCCGGAACTGCCAACTTCCCCAAGGTGCACAATCCAAGAAACAAAATGAGCACAACAGGAAAAAGGAGGCCGGACAAAAGAAGGATGGTGGGTACTTCCAGACCAAAGAGTCTATATATCAGAGCAGCTAGCCTACCAGGTGGTTCTCCAACAGCATGAGCTCACCCACCTAGGAAAAACCACCCTTGAAACCTTATTGAGCTTCTACTATGTAATTGTTCAACTCCCTCTGTGCCTTGGTCTCTCAACATTGCCTCTGTGCTCCAAATAATATCAAAAAAGGGCCCCACTGGGCGCATGGGAATCCAACGCTGTGGACAGGCACGCTTCAAGGATTTGGAAGTGGACTTTACCGAAATAAGACCCAGTGGAGGATACAATTTTCTTCCAGTATTCATCTGCATGTTTTCAGGTTAGGTTGAGGCCTACCCCACACACACCCAGAAGGCAAGAGAAGTAACCAAGGCCTTGCTAAGGGATATCATTCCCAGACATGGAATGCTATTAATCATAGCTTCAGACAATGGCCCAGATTTTGTAGTCGAGGTGGTGCAACAAGTAACCGAAACGTTAGGTATCCAGTGGAACTTACACGCAGCCTACCTGCCCCAGGGTCCAGGGAAAGTGGAACATATGAACTGAACCCTTAAATCAGCCATGGCAAAACTATGTCAGGAAACTAACCTGCCCTGGCCAGATATACTACTCCTAGCTCTCCTTTGAATATGCTATACACTCTGGGCAAAAATAGGATTCTCCCCATTCAAGATCCTATATGGAAGGCCCCCTCCACTAGTCAAAACAAGGGGACCTGACAGAGCTAGGAAATTTAGAAATACAAAAGCAACTACAAGGATTAGGAAAAACCATATTTGAGATACATAGATGGGTGACAGACAGGATACCTATTTCCCTAGGAATAACGGTATAACCCCACAAACCTTGGGATCAGGTTTGGATTAAAGATTGGGAAAGGGAACCACTCAGACCTACCTGAAAGGAACCCTATTTAGTTTTGCGAACCACACCCACAGCCCTCAAGATTGCAGGACTAACTGCCTGAATCCACCATCCTTGAGTAAAGGCAGCCCACCTGTCACCTGACAACCACTTGGAATGGAAAGTGACTGCTAACCAGAATAATCTTTTACAGATCATTTTTAAGAAGATAGCAGATGATAAGCCGCCTACAGCCAACACCTGAGAACTCTCCGTAACCAGAAGCCTGAGGAAATCACCAAGCAATTTAAATGAACTATAACAAATCATTCTCTCTCAAATTTCATTGTCATCCCCTACCTGTTTCTCTTTCTATACTTGTTGCTATACTCTTTGCTGTAGGGCTTACCCAAGTTACTCCCACAGACTGGCGCCTCAGTCACAAACTCTTGTTAGCTTTCCTCTACTTACTAGTGTCAGGATGTCTTATTCTCCTTAGATGTATATGATCTGAGTTATGATTGATGTCCCCTATTTGGAATAAGAAACTGTCAGGAACCTACCCTAACACACAAAAAAATTTCTCCTACTGTTAATACTGAGTTCTCTCATAAGAATTGATGTCCCTCCTCAATGTAATGATGACTGTTTCAAGACCAGCACATGAGCTCCTCCCTTTCCCCTGCCCTGAATAGCCTAAAACAACCCCTAGGACAGGGAACTACACACAAGGCCTTCACCAAATACACATATCAGCATGCAAAATGTTATCAGTCAGCCTCGCTCTGTTCCCACAATGAAAAAACTTATTGGCAAGGAAGAATTAAAGCAAGACACCTTTCACAGGGAACAATCATGTCATGGAATCCCAGACAAATATGCCTGCTAGGCACAATAAACCCACTTTGGATTGTCTGATGGAGGGGGAGTCCAAGGCCAGGACTGTAAGGAGTCATCCCAACAGGAGGTACAAAATTCCATAAAGCAAACTTCTGGAAATCTGTCCAGGAGACCCAAACTTCCAAAAATCAGACTCAGTGGCCCTTATGACTTTAACTTCTGCTCATACCAGATTCTAAATTCAGCCCATCATCTTCTCAACTCCTCTAACCCTAATTAGCCAAGGACTGTTGGTTTTGTCTCTCTCTAACCCCCTTATGTTATGAGGCTGCCCCAGACCCAGGTAATGTAATCAAAATGGCTATCCCCCGCAACATGTCAACAGATAACATAACTGTCACAATAGGGCCCATGGTTACTGATATGAAGGTAATAGGGTGGGCCTCCTTATGTTTTAAAGACCAGTGGGGAACAACCCCTCTACATAACTTAACTAACAACCAGTGAAACCAAGCTGAGATATACAAACAGGTAAAAACCATGAGTCACCCTGTTTCATTCCCCCTGTGGGAATATTCTTTGTTTGTGGAATTATTGCTTATTTGTGCCTGCCTGCTAACGGGATAGGAATTTACACTTTTGCATTCCTAACCCCCCAAATAAATATTCTCTCCAACAACCGATCCCTTATAATTCCCTTGGCCGCACATACCTGGTCTAAATGAGCTATCCAAGCTATACCTCTAATAATTGGACTGGGAATCACTGCCAGAGTAAGTAGTGGAATTGGGGGAGTAGACTCATCTATTTCCTTCTACCAAGAACTATCCCAAGATCTGACAGATGACATAGAACAAGTTGCAAACTCTTCAGTAACCCTACAAGACCTAGCTCTTTAGCAGTAGTAGTATTACAAAATAGAAGACAGTTTACCTGTTAACTGCTGAGAAGGGGAGAACATGTCTCTTCCTAACATGAGGATGCTACTTCTATGTTAACCAATCAAGGATAGAGGTATGGCCCAACAACTAAAGGAATGGTTCATCAAATAGAGGAAAGAATTAACAGACTGATGGAACTCTTGCAGCAATATATGGAACTGGGTATCCTGGCTACTCCCTTTATCTGGTCCTCCCCTAATGGACCTAATGGACTAATTCATAACCCTCCTGTTTGGTCCTTATATTCTTAACAAGCTAACCAGATTTCTTTCTTCTTGCCTAGAAGCTATAATACTCCAGATGATGCTCCAGTTGGACTATTCTAGCTGTCGCTACTCTCCTTTGGATGGCAAAGAACCCTAGCTGTCACATTCCTCCCTTCGACGTCCCTGTCCAGCAGGAAGAAGCCAGAACGGTCTTCACCCCTCCTCCCATGGCCGCAAAGGATTCCCTGGCCTCCACAAACTGATTTTCTCTAAGTCTGCTACAGCAGCTTGAGAATCAAGGGTGGGGTGGGAATGGGGGGGGGGGTGGGAGGTAGGGATGAGAAGGAAAGTTGGTAAAAAGCAGATAAAAAGGGGCAGCCAGATGTCTGGGGCAGGATACTCCCCTTGCATTCTTTTGGCTTCTACAATCTTGCTTGCCTCTTGTATCAGCCAGAAGCCAGGAACTGTACTAGCCCCGCCCAACCCGGAAGCACGTATGTATAAAAAACCAGTAAAACCATAGCAGGATGCACAGTCTTTAAAGGTGACTCTGCTGGCCCAGCACCTGTGCGAAATAAACAGTCTTTTCTGATTCCCGGAGTACGTGTCACTTGTCCCTTCCTGGGTGCTGGGTATTAGCTATAAATGTTCAAAAACTGTTACAGAAACATCAATTATCTGGTAGTTACCTAGGAGATAACCTTCCCTATACAGAACACAGATGATAAATTTTGCAGATACCCACGAAGGCCTATACTTACGGTAGTCCCAGTAATACATCCCATGTGTTTATGCCCCACCTGTCCCCAAACATGGCAAATTGGAACAACAAATTAAAAATATCTGGAGGTACACTTATATCAATAAAAATAGTTTCTGAAATCAAGACAAGAGATAGAAGTAGTATATAAAGATAATCCCTGAACACAGCAAACACTAATGTGGAGGGACAAGTTGTAGGGAAAAAAATTAAAAAAAGATTTCAGAGTAGAATTTCTTCTAGATTTGGCTCTTAATCCTCAAGGATTGGGAACATTGTAAAGATGAAAACTAAAGGCAACATCTTCATTTGACTGTAGTACTAGATATAATAATTTTGCATGGCACATGAAAAAATTAAAATTGTATGTAACCATTTTTAATTGGAATATTTAAAAATTGTCTTAGTTGTGAATATATATCATTCAGATATTCCCTCCCTTTTTGTCCTTCTTCTTATCTATGCTCATTGCAATATGTTTGGAATAAGACCTTCCTGGGATTGCTCTTGTTTGAGATCGATTTCCCATTGAATGAAAGCCAATATTAATGAATTTGTTGAGTAAGGAAGATAAGAAGCTTTGGAGAGGGAAAAGGGTCTTCTAGTTTCTCATAATATCTAGGCAATTTCATCCAGAAGCTAAGGGTTCTATCTCATGTTTTTGTTTTTGTTTTCTTTTTCTTGCTCACACAATGTGCAGGGACTCTCTGCAGCCCTGCACATATTTGGGGTCCCTTTCTTTCACGACCACCTTTTCACTAGGGCTACCTGAAGTTTTTTTATTCCTACAATCTTAAATATGGTATATTTGACTCTCATTGTTTTCAGTGACACATTTGCTCATATCTCAGAGAAAGTGACAAATGCCATGTAGTGTAGTGGGTAGTAGTAAGGCACTAACTCTCCCCATTAAACATTTAGCTCTCTCTCTCTAGTGAAAGTAATACAGTCTTGGATTAAAGCTCAGGACAGGAATGGTGTTTATAATCCCTGAGCTACATAGAAAACTTTTCAAAAAATTTTTGTTCATATATTCAGGAGGTAAATAGTATTGTCATTAAGAAAGTTAATATTAGCACAGTGTTTAAGGAACACAGTGAAGCCAATAAATCTGCCATTTATTAGCTGGATTACCATGGTCAAGTAATTTAACATCTGTGTACCTTGGTTTCCTTGCCTATAAAATGAGCATAATTGTAGTATGGACCTCCCAGGCTTATGCTGAGGATAAAATTAGTTAACGCCTGTAAAACACTAGTACAAGTCCTTTTCTCTATGGTGTTGTGTTATGTCAGTGTTTGCTGTTCCACTGAACTTTTCTGAAACAGCCACTTATTTTCCTCAATTTTATAAAATTTACACATTTAAGCTACTGATCTACATCATTTACGCAGCCACTTCTTCTATTAATAAGTTCATCTTTCCAAAATAGCCTAAACTAAAGCAATAATAATTTGAGAAGGGAAAAGCTGAACTTTCCCATTGCTATATTAATGACGTGTAATGAAAGACCTGTTAATTTTTGAGTAGTTTATTTAAAAATCCCATGAAGGTGAGAACAATGTTAAAACAAAACGAAAACAAAAAGCTATTTGAGCTTTTGTTTGCTAGATCCTGTGCTAAATTTTTTGTAACTATTTAATCATTACAACAAATTTACAGTTATTAAGATGAACTAATGAGGCACAGGGATAACTCAGTTAATATCTCAAGTTAAGTAAACTGTACCATCTCAGGTTCAGTAAGTGGAAGGAATCAGGACTGGAACTCAGGTAGGTGGATTCAAGAACCCATCCTTCAGAGGACCTGGTGATTTGACATTTATGAGAATTTTGCCCTAATTGTGGAGGCAGAAAATATTGTAGAGAGGTCAAAGATACCAAGACAGGAAGATTTTCCCAGGACTAAAATATTTTCCCAATTCTCTAAGTGACGTGGTTCTCTGTTTTGGTTTTTGTTGGGTCTTAATCTACATGTGGTCTTCCTAGGGTGGTATGTAATTCTCCAGTTGAGAGCCTGATGGTGTTTACTACTGTTTCTCTTCCTTAGACAGTCTGAAATCCCACAGGTCCATGATTTCACTAAAAATCTCATTCTAATTTTCATTCACTTTCTGCTCATTTCTTTGCTTTTTTAAAATCTGCACAGCTCAAGGATCCAACATTGGATTTACTTCCCTGTGTCTCCCTTCTCCCTGTGATTTTAGCCAGGCAAGTTCTGGCTACCTTGGTAGTCTCAAATTTTGATTTTCCTTTCTTTTTTGTTAAGCTCCATGAGATTTTCAAATGTTCTGTTGTCTTCTCTGACCATTGGGTGAAATCCTCCACCTAGTATTTTTAGTCATACACTCTATGCCAAGATTCATCAAACATTTTGAGAGTCCAGAGTTATATAAATAATCTGGCTTAAGCTTTCTAACTATACCAAAGTTAGATATATTATTTTCATTTTATAGATGTGAAACTTGAGCCTCAGAAAGGTCACATAACTTGCCCAAAATGGCACAGGAAGAATTGGAGGCAGATATCTCTCTAATCTCTACACTCAATTCACTACACAAGAATCCTTCCCAGATGTAATCTAAAATCAATGGGGAAAATAATGGTGATAGAAATGTAAATAGGAACTAAATTTATGTAGGTGCTATTGAAATTGCACTTTTTCAAACATTAATGTATTTTATTCTCTAACTGAAAGAGGTAGGAGATAAAGTAGTTTTGAATTTTAAATATTTAACCTATTATTAAAGTTATGGATATAAGCCCCAACAGTAAACAACTTTTGCAAGAAGACCTTTTAATATAGATGACCTAAGGAGGAATTAATAGAATACCACAATTAGAAAGGAACACAACTCAACCTACAGCCTACCATAATTGGTGATCCCTGCATTGTTCTACCATCCCTTGACATTCCACTTGGAGGCAAATTTATTTTTTTTTATGCAGAGAAGTAAATAAATCTCCTATGTTTATTTCTATTGGCTGTTTTCTAGGCATTGAAAGTAGATTTGGACAGATGAACATATTGGGGAGGCACATACACATGTGAGGAATATAAAAGCAAACATAGTATATTAAAAGGTTAAAATGAGCTCCAGAATAATAGGGTGGTAATTTTAGCCAGAATAAGTAAGAATCAGTGGGGGAGGCAATAATACTATGCTGTCACAGTTAAGATTGTGATGCAGTGAGCAAACAAATAGTTCAATGCTGGAATTTCAAAGAAAACTAAACCGTAAAACAGATCTTTGTGAAGGAGAGTACAAGAGTAGTTGGTTGTTAAGTTTTGTATTAATATATGTTGAAACTCTTTCTATAAGGTATATTAAAATGCAAACAAGAATACTAATATGAATACATTAAAAACTTACAATGGCTCCGGTAACATATCAGATTTTGGCATTGTTTTAGACAAAACAATCCCGTTAAATTGGATTTTGAAGGATGTGAGGATAGGAATTTAAGCTTAATAAAGTTTTGTATAACTAATACTTATTATAACCAATGTTCCCCCCCCATTCCTTATGTTTGTGAGAAAAAAAAGAAAACAAATAAGCAAACAAAATAAAACATAGTACTTACAGTTCTTAACGATTTTCCATTTATTCTTTATTTCAAAAGTGAGAAACTCCCTTCTCACTCATTCTCAACATATAATTGATTCTATAAATACTACTTCTTACGTATCTCTCAAAAACTTCCAACTCCTTGTACTGCCATTGCTTCCACTCTAGCTCAGTGCACAGTTAGGTCTCACTTTATCTCTGGCAGTAGATATTTTTATTCCTCTGTGATTTAACCTTTGCTTTAAGTTGAGAACATGATTTTTTTAGAATGTAACTATGTTTATGTCATATCTCTTTAAATCTTTCATACTGCTCTTACTACAAATTCAAATTCCTTAAAAACTCTTAAAATTCTGCCTATTTCTCTACTCTGTCAATATCTCCACCACTCTTCACTTCGATTTTATGGTTGTGGAGACCCTTTTAGATCTCTGAAATAAAAATAAATACGAATGTCATTCATAACCCAGTGTTACTCCTGGATCCTTCCTCCCTATGCTAGGGATACTCTTTCCATTCCCATTCTCCCATTTAGGTAGTCAACTTTTATTCATGTATTCACACTTCAGGTCATGCCTTGAAGGATTTATTTTGGAGTATTTAGATTCAAACTTATTCTTCAATATTCCCATAGAATTCTGTAATATTTTTACTGTAACCGTTTAACTTGCTTTAATGTCTTTTTTTGTGCCCCAAATTTGAGTTATGTTGAAGAAGAGATTATTCTACCTTGTTCTTTTATTGTGAAATGTACCACTGAAAACCCTTGGTAGAGAATGATTAGTGAGTAATCATTGACTGCATAAACAAACATGTGTCAATAAGTAAAACATCATACAATTATTTTTTCATAGTGTAAAAATAAGTTATTTTTCTCCTTCTAGTTAGAGGTGAGTCTGGGAAGGAGTGGTAGTTATCAAGGAAAAAAAATCAAGGGATGAAATAAATACTTTTATATTGTTTTCAGAAACATGTGAATGAAACAGTATTCAAATATGGTTGACCTCTAAGTAAATTCTTCATCATTTCCAAGAAAATGTGTGATTGTGGATTCAGTTTCTCAAAAGCCACAGGAGAAAATATTTTAGTTGTATAGAGAGATAAAGATAAGTATTTAAATACATAGGTACCATATATTGAACGTATCAATAACGTTCTCAAGTGTTAAGTACTTCATCATTTACCTCTTGTATTTCACAACATAATACTGAATGTGCATTATTGTTCTCAGTTTGTAGATAATCAAAATGATGCCTGAACAAACATAACTAA